ACAGAATTATATATTATTATACATAATATTAAAATGTCATTAAAATTACTATTAAAATAAATTCCTAAAGTTTATAACTTTCTTTTTTTTGGTTTTTTTTTTTTCCCCCCTAAAACACAGGTGTTCAACTGTCGTCTCATAGATCAGGACCTGGCATTGGGATATTGCACAATTTTGCCTAAGGAAGATATGTTCAATAAGCTGTGGGATGTCATAAACAATACATGGCAAAATTACAGAAAAGTTCTGGTAAATTCACAAGGCAATGTATTTCTTCAGTGAACAGAGAATGTTAAAGAGTTTCTTGTAAAAAGATATCAGCAATATCATATGGAAGTGCAAAGTTTGCCATCATTATTAAGGTTATAGCTGTTTGAACAAGTTCCTCACTTAGGGCACCACCGAGAGAGAAGCTACCTCGCTTTACCGCAATGTGAGACTGTGCATAGGCAGTTGCTGTGAATAGTTAGTGTGATGTAAGGCCAAGCACTAGGTTGCCTCATCATGACTTATTCCAAATCTTGAAATTGTTTATTTCGGGTTCCATCATAATCTATACCTACCTTATATTTTCAAGAAATTTTTCTCTTGATAGGAGTTGTCAAGAATGGAATGAATAAATAAATCGGTCTGTTAAAATATAAAGGAAGATGGGAAGTAAAGTATGACAAAGAAATGGGGAGAGAGATAAATCTGGAAAATACCTTTTGTATTAGTTTTACTAACAAACTGTTTTTGAGGAAGAAACTTGGTTTTAAAGTAGCTTTGAACTGCCAGTTCAAGAGGTGGGGTAATCCTGATACTACCCTCTGTGAGGTTTGTTTTCCATTTACACAGTTGTGTGATCATCTACAAATTGTTGTAAGTTCCTCTGAGGATTTAGACTTTAGGATTCCAATTTTTCAGATTATTTATTGTCTTCCCTTCTCATTCTTTTAGGCAGTGGCTCTGGTTGGAGAACAGCTTGCTAACCAATGTGGTGAAGCAGAAGAAAAGAAAAAGTTCCAAGAATTGGTTACTGATGCAGAATGGGGTATCCAGCTTGGTAAACTTGGTGTAAGCTTGATTTTTTTATTTTTTATTTTTTATTCATTTATTTTAGGGTTTTATTAACTGATTAAATATCAGTATATTCTGAGATGTATTGTGATTTTTAGGCAGGATTTCCCATTCAAATGTAAGGAAAGTTGGGGATTTGTTTTGGTTTAATTTTTTTTTTTCTGCTTGTCTGCTTAAGTAACCCTCAGCAGCTGAGAAATGCAATAATTCAGGGTGCTATAAAAGATCTTTTAGGTGCTTAAGTATTATTCGGCACTTGCACTGCTTTTTCCTGCTCTGCAAATCTCTGAATTGAAACTAAAGAAAACGTAAAAGGTTGACTGCATAAGGAATTATTTTTGATACTGTCTGTAAGTTCTTTGGGAAGAAGATAAAATGTTTATTTATCTATAGATTTCTTTCGAGACTGTATTTAGACAGCCACCAATAAGGAAGAAGGAACTCATAAGAACGCTGGTACAAAATCCAAATGTGAACACGGATCTCATATTGAATTACTGCAGGTAATAATTGAAGCAAATCAATTGTGTTTAATTGTTGCTGTAATAATAACCGTGCCTACTGAAGCCTATTTTGGTTTCAATAGATCCTAATGAATGTAATATGCAAATTGTTTTGGTTTTAAGTATTAATCAGAATACACACTGGTCTCTGGTGAATTTATTCATAAGGGAATAAGCACCTTGACAACACCCAAGGTCACAGACACAATAATATTCTGTTCTCTTCTAGTACTTTCATGCTGGACAGTGATGCCGCACTGCAGCTTTGCATTGAAACACTTCTTCTCCAGAATGCTAATACAAATCATGTTGAAGATGACTCTGCAGAATACAGTGAGAAGCAACCTCATTCCACATTACTGGCTAGAGCACTAGAAATAATTCCTCTACTGAAAAGCACGAAAGATCTGGTCACTAGTCTCAGTGGAATATTGTACAAGGTAAAAAATAAAAATAAAAAACCAACAAAAAAACCCCAACACACCAAAACAAGCAAAAAGAATCCCTGAAGTGTGCATCTGGTCTCAAATGCTGCACATCACTTGAATGGCAGATTAATAATTCCACAGAAATTTGAAAAGGTTATTTTTTTTCCAATTTTGCTAAAGAATGTAAATGTTAAGTTTCAGTTTTCTGCTTCTCTAGAAAAAATTGTGGAACAACATATCTAATTCTATTTAAAGATAGCTAGAGTATTTCTACCCAACTTCGCTTAAAAAACAACCAGAAAATAATCAAAAAAAAAAAAAGGCGCTTCTAAAAATCATAGCACACTGGAAATATTTCTAAGTGCTACATTAAAAATAGGGGCAAAAAAATTGTATCTTTGAGGTTTTTGTTTGCTGAGTTTTGGTTTTGTGTTTTTAGGTTTTTGGTTTTGTTGGAGCTTGGGGGTTTGTTAATCTTACAAATTTTATTATTTTGAACAGCTTGATCCTTATGACTATGAAACTATTGAAATTGTCCTGAAAGTGATACAGAATGCTGATGAAAAGAACACCAGCATCCAGCTGAATCAAGTATGTCCAAATATGTTGCTGTTACCTTACTAATGGCATCTGTATCGTTTTGTCTGTTTATTAGTGTAGTTGTTCAAGAGTCTGTTGAAATTAATTATTCTATCTACACAGCTCTCGTTAGAAAATAGCATTCAAGAAATAGTGATCTCCAGCTGTTTCTCGGCAATGGAGCATAGCAGGGATAAAAACTCTACAGATATGTAGCAACTCCGCCAAAAAAACATATGTCTCCAGGACTTAGGCATGTTTACTGCGGGAACAGGGAGAAATACAGTAGTCTTGTGGCTTTTTTCCTCTTTCTTTCTTTTTAATTTTTTTTTCTCCCCTAGGCTTTGAGCCTCCTCAAGCATCTGGCTTCTTATAAAAGAATTTCTCCACCTGTAGACCTGGAACACCAATATGTTTTAGAGCGTGTGATTCCCTTATCTCCAGCTGCTCAAACCAGACTGCCCTTCCATCTGATATTCTTCAGAACTTCTCAGTGTTTCTGGAACATTATATGTAGGTTTAGTGGTTTTTATGGCTAGATATACTGTATGATTCCCTTTCTCTGCTATCTGCGAACTTTAAAGTTCTACAGTGTATATTTTATATTAATTGTATTTCTTCATTAATGCTGTTTTCATCCCAAGTACTTCTGAAAGCACTTGCGCTCCCAAATTACTGCTGGTGAGGTAACTGGCTTTCAGTGGAGCTAAGAAGATATATACAACGCAGAATTCTGTCCTCAAATGCTTTCCTTAGGGCCTCTTAAAGATCCACGTCTTTTTCCTTTCAGCTGCAGAGCTCAGTGAGGAAACCTTCCCAACACTTCTGTTGATTTCCAAATTAATGAAGGTAAAGTAGCATCTTGAAAGGATTTATTTCAAAATTATTCTTTTTCTCCCAAACAAAAAAGAGCTTTCGTCTTTCTTTGGCATGATTTTGGCCTCACTATGGAACTTCTGACAACTCTTAATCTACTTTAATGTTTTTCCAGGTTTCACTGGATACCTTACACATGTCTGCGGCTCGACACGTCTTTGAAAAAAAATTGAAACCAAAGATATTTGAAATGAGAAGCGCTGGATATACGTCAGTTGTTAACAAGGAAACAACTAAAACTGTGCAGACAATTCAGTCATATCTGCTGTCTATAATTAATCCAGAGTGGGCTGTAGCTATTGCTCACAAGATTGCACAAGAGTTTCCAACAGGTAAGGCACTCACGTGATGGCTGGAGGGGTGAAGTAACGGGAGGAGGAGAACAGGTCTGAGAAAAGAAAAGCTAGCGTGTAACCAAACATTTGTTCAGTGTTCTTGGATAAAACTTGAGGGAAGTTTGAGAATAAAAATGCATTTTGTCTCCTACATCCAGTTTTGAACCATAGGGTAGAACAACAGCAATTTTATAGTACAGCTTCACTATTAAATCCTTTTTTCCTCTCTTTTTAAGCTGTGTTGTCTTGCTTAAAGTTTCTGCATGTTCATACCATCTTCAGACAAGTTTTCCAGCAAAAGCAAATATTTCAGACAAATGTTAGCTAGTTTCTCTACTATCTGAATCCAAATAGATAATTATATTTTTGCTTTTTAAGTACAAGAGCTATCCTGATATTTTAAATAGCTTCTTTTTTAATTCTTTGAAATAAAATTGATATTCTGTGTACTGTAGAAAGGATTCCTGAAAACTTAATTAATTTACTTCCTTCCTCTGCTTTTTTTCTTTAAAAAAAGGTCCTGATCAGATTCAGGCATTGAAATTCTGCCTCTATCTAGCTGAGAAATGGCTGAAGAATACTACAGCTAAGGTAATGGTAAGCTGCTTGCAAAACTGCTAGTTTGCAGTTGGGTACTTGGGTTAATGTTTTGTCTTTTGGTATTTTGGATAGTGGGGTGTAAATTGTACCTTAAACAACCATGACATGGGAAGTTTACATAAAAAATACTTATAGATACAGGTATGGAGACACATCTGAAGAATGGATCTTGCTACCCAGTTCACTGTTTCAGACTGTTGAAAGTTAAGATTATTTTCCTAGTGCTTTTGAGTAAAAGGAGGTTGTTTCATATAAAATTTTGGTGTTTTGCTAAAGGATGATTCACATGAAAAAGCGGAAGTCTTACAGAAGAAATTATATATGCAGTATAAGCGATCAGCAACAGAAAATGTTCTAATAAGGTATAACCTTAACACTAGAGAGCATTTAAAGTCTATTGGGAAGCCAGCCAATCTCATCATTTTACTATACGAACACCACAGTATAGACCAAAGAATCCAAAATCCAACTGGCAGAGATTACCCAGGTAAGCATCCACAATCTCGTTTCAAAGGAGCAAAAAAGTTCTTTAAAAAATGCTAAGCAACATGATACTGGTTTACAAATATCTCATCTCTACCTATTTCTGTAGATATCCATGCGGCAGCTAAGGAGATAGCCGAAATTAACGATTTGGATATGAACAAAATTTGGGATAAACTGCTGGATAAATGGCTGTGTCCAAGTATACTGCCCTCACAAGTAAGTCATCGCTGGAGATTTGGTTTTGGAGAAAAATGACCAATTACATAAAATATGTATATTTTTATGACTTGTTCAAAAGACTAAAGTTATTTTGCATAATTTGCCTTTAGGACTCGTATCTATTTTAGATGCGTCTGAATTCAGACTGATCTAAGTTTCAGTACCTTTCTAATATTGGTGCCCACCACTGTCTCTAGTAAGAATGACTTGAAATGCTTTCCCTTCTCCCTGTATGGAGATTAGAATCTTCTCTTTGGTGCTACAGTAAGGTTGTGTAGCCAGCCTAAAGGAGTTATAAATATATTAGCCTCATCAAACATTGATTCTAGAATCAGAGAATAAATCTTTTCCTGTTGCAACTTGGCTAGCAGAGTTAATTGCTGTCTGTGCAGCACACGGCTGGGTGAGAAAGGGCAGGGAGCAGGCATTGCCTCTGCTTCAAAATACCAGTTAGCAGCCTGAGGAGTGGTGTTGACTGCCAAGTATAACGTTAAATAAAGAAAGGACTGATAAAACCAGAATTTCTTTCCTTGGCTGCATTAGCAGAGGTGCCCAGCTGTTGAGACAGGGTTTAAGCAAGGATATGAGCCAGCTGTCTATCCAAACAATTTAGAAAACTCTCACGACTAGATTTTCATGTCTTTTTAAAGAAAACTCAAGAAATCTTTGGAGATGTGCAGGAAGATGAAGAACTCCAAAGGTATGTGTGTTGTCTTACGTATAATATGGAGAATTACTGTTAACATGCAAGTTTAACTATATCTGGCTTTTTCAAGAAACCCAACAGTGTGTGTGATTCAGAACTCACTCTTGTGTTCTTATTTTTACCTTCTGGTCACATCAGTTTTTAATCATTAAATACTCATGCAATGAAATGCCATTTGCAGTAACTTACAGATGTAAGTGCGTGCTTAAGGGCAGCTGTTCGGAGGTTTTATCTTTGTTTTCTCGATCCTTGGAATAGCTTACCCCTAATCGCTTTTTGACAGTGAAATATATTCACATTTGAATGGATGTTGATACGTTCTGTTTCAGTAGCTATGCTGTACTTGTATTAAAACACGTGTATTTTTGCAGAGTTATTTATCTACTTCAGTCACGCCCAATGGATTATAGTTCAAGAATGCTTTTTGCAATTACAACATCTGCCACATCTGTAAGTTTATAAAGTTTGTTTTAGCTTGCTACTTACAATATTTTCCCCTCTTATTGAAAACAAGCATTGTCTGCTTAACTGTGTGGGTTTCAGCGTAAGGCCATTGTTTTGGATATATCTGTACGAGCTCTCTGTTTCTCCCCCACACCTTTGGAGTAAAGCTGTGGTGTTCACTGAATTTTACTATTGACTGTCAAGAGCAGCCCTTGAACTCTGGGTTTTCTAAATTTATTGTTGATATTATCTAAAAGTAACTTCATTAGGCTTTTTCTAGAATGTGCTTTAAGCGCTTGTAATACATTGTCTCACTGTGGGTGGAATTAAAGCAAAGTGGCAAAATTATTTTAGCAGAACCTTAACCTTCAGTCTTTCACACTTACTAAATATATTTGTGTTGGTGATGTGACAAATACTTTTCTTGCCTGCATTAATAGTCTTAAATCTGGAAAAACACCTGGTTACATTGACAAATATTTCAAATGGTTAATAGAAAAGATGAACAAGAACCAGTCTCTTACTCAGCATATATTTCCACTAAATCAATCATACTAGACATATAAAACCCTCTTTCTAGTTGTTCAGCCAATTGTTGTGATTTTTCACTGGTGTTTCTTTCCCCCCCCTCAGCCAATTGGTGTCACTCAGTTGACATTTGCTCACAGGAACAGAGCACTGAAGTGTCTTCTCTACTTGGCAGACACCAACACTGTGGAATCGCTCTTCAAGAAACCCATTGAGAAAGTAAAGTAAGATGAATTTTTTCACTATTTTTTCCTTTTTTTTAAAGGAACAGAAGAACACTCCTCCAATACTATCCTGAGCTTGATTATGCCAGTTATAATAACCACTCTAAATGTCATTAACTCCTGGTTTTCGGGGGACTTTTTTTTACAGGTATTTTCTAAAATGCTGCATTTATCTGGCAGAGTTTGAAATCTTAAATATTCCATATACTTATGAATCGTTTCATAAGTGTCCTAAGGAAGGAATGATTAAGGGGCTATGGAAGAATCACAGCCATGAACCCACGGTATGATCTTTAAATCTTTTGTCATTTTTTTGTTTGCTCCTTATACACTGTGTGAAATGTACACCTTTCTACCCAGCACGTACATTTCTAAACAGATGTTGCTCCAGATGTACCGTCCTATTCATGCACTACTCATGATATGCTACTCAGCATTATATTTAAAAATACCAGTGAATATACAGTTACCCCAAAGGCTCTCCTCCTTCAGAGTGACCAAAAAAAAAACCAAACCACAACCTGTTGATGTGCTGAATGTACATTAAAATACAGCGTGTCCTTGCTCTCCTTTAGGCTGTGAGACTGGTGACAGAACTTAGTCTAGAGTACAAAGTCTACGATTCCCAGCTGTGGAATGGTCTGCTACAGAAACTCCTGGGTTTCAGCATGGTAAGGAATTTTTAAGCATGAAGTTCTGCAGTGAAGTAAGAAAAAGGCTTTTTTATCCACTGATTTCTAAAGAATAGGATAAAGATGTAAACTAGAAACTTTCTGTGAGCAATCATTGATAATTTACATGGTTACTTTGGGCTCTTAGATACTGAACGGATGAAGCTTTGAGGAATTTGTGTTTTAGCAGTACTGCTTGAGAATTTTGATCTTACATTGTTCTAGTTTTACTTTTAAAAAAAGCACAAAGCCTTTCAGATGGCAAGAGTAAATCCTATGCTAAACTGAAAAATTTATTTATATTATTATAATTTTACAACATGACATTGCATATTTTTGGTGTGCAAATGTAGACACACGCACAAACTGTACATACATGTATCTACATTTGTGTATACATACACACACAAAAAAATATTACCCTTAAAATGTATTTATTATGATAGTAATCCTGATCTTTGTCATTCAGAATCTTAATTACCTCTGATTGTCAAACTTTATGTAATGTTGCTACAGCCTAAGGAGGTCACAGATGTGCCTGGCAATGCGTTGTATCAGGAGCAGGTACTCAAGCTAGTTTTCATCTAATGAGGTTTGGGCACTAACAGCAAAGGACGAGGGATCAGAAACTTTCCAGTATCAGTTGTATTAAGATTACTGAAAATCTTCAGTGTTTGCTGAGACAACATATGCTGCTACTGCTTGTGATAATTTAATTTACTAAATGATAAATAATGTTTCCATATGCATCAGTTACTCCTCCCAAAGGAGCAGAGGTAGCTTGGGGAACTCTAAGTTTGCATCCTGCAGACAAGACAAGCGAATGCAGCTCTGTAGATGATCGCCATATCTTCAAAAACACCATAGCATTTTATAATTAAATATTTTTTTTCAGATTCAATATCTAAGAAGAGTTTTGATAGCAATTACTGGGATTCATTCATTATGGGAGGTAAGCAAATATTCTATGACTCCTCATCTTTTTCTTCACTTAACAAGAGTTTAGCATCCTATTTGTGTGTGTGAATGGCAGCCATCTGTGCTGTTAAGTGTTATGCATTAAAAGGTTCTTTTTGAATTATTCTTTTTTATAACAATGCAATACACAGATGAGTATATTATTAATCACTGAAACAGCATATTTTGGACTTGTTCCTTCAGTAAACACTTGGAAGGTTTTGTAAGTTTGGACAGAATAGTTTTACCATCCGTTAAAATACGGCCCAATCTTAGACTATGAGATGAGCAGAGCAGTGTTAGGGAATAATCCACCCAGGATAAACAGAAAAGAAAATTGACAAGCTCCTTCCACCTACAGTGGGTCAGGATGTCTGTGTGTCTGTTTACAAATACACATAGTTACAACTGCATTTCCCTATTAATTTAAAACTTTGTTGTCAACAGATTCCCAACTTCAGTCGGGCCTGGCGAAGTGTTGTTCTGTCACCATTTCTCACAGGTAGGGTTGTGAGAATTTGTGCTGTTGTGGTTGTTATAGTAACCTGGTTTTATATTTACTTTATCATGTTTCCTTTATTTCTTAGCTTCCTGTCCACCGAGTCCTAAACAGTTAGAGGAATGCTGCGAGTGTTTTGTGATTCTGCTCAAGTAAGTAGACAGTCCACCCCATGTTTGTGTTAGCTTGAGCGGTAACGCCCATTTGTAATTTCTCATCCAACAACCTGCCCTGGAAGGTGCAAAGGGGCTCTGAAAACTGGGGAACCTGAGGCACGAGGAAAAACCTTTTGTGGAAAGGACAGGATCAGGGCATGTACCCAAACAGAAATTCTGTGCCCAAAATAAAGGACATTTCCTGAAACATTAACACAGAGTATGAGAGAGAAATAATTTTCCTACAAAGAATAAATCTGACGTGACAAAAATCTAATAGCTGGACATCTATAATACCATAGGTTAAACATGTTTAATGTTCCAAAACCATTCTCTACATAAACCAGTTTTGCATTGCTTTTACAATGTAAAATGCACAATAAATCATTTTCTGATTCACCCCAATGCTCTGACTTGGTCAAGAGAAGAACGAGATCTTGGAGAGCCTGACCTGCACCCAAAGTTAGTTAGGAAATACTGGAAAGGGATCCAGCTGAAGAATATGCTAACGGTACTGTGCATATACGTATGTACCAAAGCATTTCTCTGGGCGGTTGGCCAACACTTCCCCTCAAAACAGGGCCTTGGGTATTTAGAAAGAGAAAATGGAGTTGTTTGGGGTTTTTTTTTCCAAGCTAGACAATCATCATGCATTTGTATTGTATGCAACTTCAGCTCACATGGCTTGGGCATTTCTGAAAATAAGATGAGGTAAAAATGTATTGTTCTCTCTGGCTTCAAAACCTCAGTGTGGTTTTGTTGACAGTACTAAGCTATCCAGTTACACACAACACAGCTGAGAACTTCACTCCTAATTTTCTTCTGAAGATGTCCCGTTCTGGCTGACTTGGATGTGATAGGAATAGCAAAACAATACGCACAGCTGGACCTGCCAGCTTTTGCTTTGGGGTGTCTGCTACTGATTCCTCAGTCTGAGAAGCGAGAGCAGCAAATTCAGGTAAGTAATAACTTTTGTGTTCTATCTGTGCCAGGGAAATGTCTGTAAGCATGTCGTACTCAGCAGAGACTGTGAAAGCGATAACCTATAATTCCCCTTATTTAAATATGTCACTGCTGACAGCTGCTCGGCATTTCCCGCCCACAAAGGCTATTGCCCTGAATTTGTCCTTCGGAAAGGGATCATGTGAACAATTCCTCTTTTTTTTTTTTTTTTTTTTTTTTACAAAGCAAAACCAGCTAGCTTCAAGTCATGCTCAGCAGCTTTGTCATATGAGACTGCCTTTTGTGTATTTGAGGAGATTTTGTAAGATCCCACCCATAAAACCCACAACAAAACCCAAGCCATAGCCACATGCCTGCCAGATCAGTGTGACATTGATGAGAACATCCATAATTGCTGAGGAGCTACCAGTGGGCCAGTTTCACAACAGACTGTAAGAAAAGTACCAAATTCTACTTCAGAAGAGTGTTGAGTGAGAGCTCCTGACTTCTTAGAAAAATGCTTGATATGCATCCCAGGTTCTGATATAAACCTTCTACCACATCCTCACTATTCATGTATCTCGACAGCTTCCGTTCTCACTGGTTTCCACTGATCTATGCTCTGCATTGTTCTCCCTGGTGAAGCATTACAGGCTGTTCCCATATTCGTTATTAACAAAAATGCAACTCAGACTTCCAGTATTAAAGTTAAGCTCAGAAAGATATTCCCAAATTACAACATCCGTGTAAGACATTTAGTCTGTTGGAAAAAGTCTGTAACAGCGACAGCAACGTACCCTGTGAGAGTTAAAAGCGATGAGTACTGCTCTTTCCGTCAAACTGCACAGACCCTGGTTTGATAATTTCATGCTTTTACCCAGAATTTAAAAATATTAATTGTTCCCGAATAAATCAAATACTTGCTGTGAAGGGAGAGTTTCTACTTTAATCATTTACGGTATGTTAACGTTTCATAACCTATTTTTGCAAGGGTTTCTTATCGACATGTAACACAGAAACCGTGCTGCAACAAATAGATGAACACATGAACTCTGGGGAAGTAGTGGCGTTTGCTCCTCAGGTAAATAAATAAAGTTTACTTCACTTGCCTTTGACTTAGATGCTTTCTTGATAGCTAGTGTACACAGGACCTTTCTTTCCCCTCCCCACTCTTGCCAAGCATTAACTGACAACGCGCACTTCTAAAACACAGCAACATTTGCAGGGATTTTTGCATTTTTATTGATGTTGTGCGACTGAAAAACTTCCTGTATATATACAGTGCTGTGTTACAGGCTGCCTCTATTTGTAGGACAGCACTGTTTGCAGCAGGACTAGTTTATTTTTCTAAATAAATGTTTTAAGCAGAAAGCCCATAGCGCTCACGAAACCACACTCCCTCTCGCTTGCCTTGGGCTGCCTTCCTAAGGGCAAGTTTCTTAACTCATTCTCCTATCTGAATCTGAGACTAGTCTTCATAAAATTTGCCATTTCACAGCACTAAAAACAATTAAAACATAACAAAAAAAAAAATCCTGCTCTATGGGAGTCCAATAAGAAAAGTCTGATCTCTTTTCATTCAAAAGTAAAATTTCTTATGTTTAAAACATTAATTAACATTTTCCATTACTAAATCTACAGATTAGATCTCTGGTCTTGGACAGTATCATAAAGGAGAAGCTCTATGAAAAATTCTTGAAAACAAAGTATTTTCCACTGTTGAAGCAACAACTGATGAACACTCACCGAATGAAAGAACTGGTGGATTATTTTGTCAAAAAGAATTGGTAAGTTAAGAAAAGGTAAAACAGGTGATGTATTTCTGACACAAATTACAGAAATTGATCTCTCCTTTCTTTTAGTTCTTTTCATTTAAGTCATGGAGATTTTCTAGTACATAGCCTTCAATAATTTTTGAAGTATTTCTAAGTTAAATAAGTAAATAAAATTAAAACCTTGCCTCACTGCCTTGTGTACTTAGGATAAAGTTTTACTGTGTCATTCAAGCCAAAGTAACAGCTCATTGAGCCTGGACTGGCAAGCAGATCAAACGCAGTTAAAATAGCAAAAGTAACCAAAAAGGAAACAATCACCTCACCATACCTTGAGATGAATTCAGTTTAGTGGCACCACAGAGTCACAGCTTCAGCAAGAAAAAACAGATGAACTGCCTGGACTCAAGACTTAGAAATTAGTGGATTTGCTGCTCAGTTCTTCAAAAGAACCACCTCTTATGTTCCACTTAAATAAACCAAAGGGCATTGCCCCTGCCCTCCTGCAGGGCAGCTGTCTCAGCCATCAGTGCCTCACAGCACCTGGGCTCATTGAGCACAGCTGCAAACTTTCCTCTCAGACCCCAAACACCCGCTATGGCAAGGGACTTTGTTACCAGTGATCCTGCAGTCAAAATGGGACAGGAGCCAGTAAATAACTCTTTAAATTCTAGCGCATCTTGGTTTTAACAGCCACAGGTTAAATGCTGGGCTTTTCAGGGCTTGCTTTCCTCTGCTGGGAAGTGATAGGACCTCCCTGACCCCAAAAACGTGGGCTCATACCTTCTTTTGATACTTCAGCGTACAGAGTCTAAATCCTTGGCTCTAAAGGAGAACTCCTTGACAAACTTTTGCCTCCTACAGCATTGATGAGGCAACTGCCCTAGTTCAAGAATATCAAGAGAAATGTGGAAATCCTATCCTGGTAGAGATAGCACCGTCTGATCTTCTGAAGGTAAAACCACCCACTTCTGTACCTCACGCTGTATTTTCACCTTTTTTCTAAACTAAGACTTTCATTCAACTTTTAGCAAAAATACTTGTTAGGTGCTTTATATATTGTATATAATATCTCTTTTATTAATTCAAATAATTCATTTTACTTGAACCAAATCTGTGCCATGCTAAGCTTTATGCTTTCAAGTACTGCCACAGGTCTAAAGAGAATATCCCATTTTCCTGAGACCTATTAATACTGTTTTCTCACCTTCCAGGTGTATCTGAATGGACCGGAGACCTGTGCACTAGAACTGTCATCCGTAAGGTCTTGATTTAACCTCTTCTTTTCTCCCTCTGCTGGCACAACAAGGGCCAGGCAGTGAGAACACTCAAACCTGTCTGGTGAACATGAAACTGAAACCTCAGTGCTCTTTTATCAGAACCTGCCCTGAGCTTTCCACGTTTTTAACTGTTGCAGGCTGCTTCTCCTCCGTACTCCATCCCCACTGAAACAGTTCAGATTTACAGCAGCATTTCCTGTTTCTATTCAACAGTAATGTTCATATTCAGCACTTTAATTTTTAGGAAGGATTAAAGTTTATTTCCTTTACCTCTGTATTCCTCCATGTGTAAGTCTGCTGAGGATCACTCGAAGATTTCACTCCCACACACATAATGTTGCGTAATCGTGATAATCTTTTTTAAAAGCTGTAAGTGGTGTACTTCATGTAAAATACTTTGTAGACAAATTGTAATTTTAACTAGTGAGCACAAATAAACAGACATATGTCAATTTTGGCCTTATTCTATAAACCTTTCTTAATCATGGTATTGTCAGTAAATGGATGTTCCACTCAGTCACTAACCTTCCTTTGAATAATATGTCCCAACATTTTCCTTTCAACTTTGTTCTTTCTGTCTGTCTGTCTGCAGCAGCCTAAAGCAACAGGCACGAGTCTCCCTGCATGAAACAGCAGCTAGCCACAGGTTCCCGATACCAGGCTGCAGTGCTGGGTCTTTTTCTAAGGTAAAGAAAGTTTATTTGAAATAGAAATGAGTTATTTTGGGAGCTTATGACACAGAAGGATTCTAGCTGATCCCAAATTCTATGGAAAACCATTAGTTTAACTCCAACCTTCGTGACAAACACCGCACAGCTTTTTGTGAAGCTTCTGCACTGAAAAAAATCATAACACAAAGGCCAACATCTGCCCAGGGAACAGGCCAGCATTCCAAATGTTCTTCTGGAAAAGACAAAACATAAACCACTATTTTTATTGGGAAGTCAGCACTCATGAGAAAGGGGAGCTGTTAAAATATATTCAGGTCCCTGCAGTCGTGAGAACAGGAGCCCAAAGATCCAGGCTTCTGGCACAGCCCCTGTTCCAGCCCTCGGCAGCAGCGTGAGTGGTTGTAGAGTCGATGAGACCATCACTTGTGAAAGCACAGGGGTATCTGAAACTGCTTTGAGTATAACGAGGAAAGTTAAACTTTCTATAGTGAAATTACTACAGCAAGTGGTAGCTTCTGAAAATATTAACATTAACTCATAAATCTATTTTATTATTTTAACTTAAATGGGAATGTGAAATTGAGAAAATTAAACATCAGCAGGACTCTGAGGCAAACGTAACATGGCCCCAGAGCCCTCAGTTTTTTTTTTTAGCCCTTTGCAAGTATCCTTTACAAGTAAGTCATCAAAACAGCATCAGGCATTTTAGAAGCAACTCCAACTATTGTGTTTTTTCCACCAACAGCTCATAAAGCTTAGTTTTTCTACGAAGTGGAGTTTATTACAACATTAAGGAACAGTATTTAAACAGTTATTTTAATGGAATATTTTACAAATCACTTCATACAGAGAAAAGCAAACACAATGTTCTTCTGAAGTTATTACCAATAAGCCACACTGTTAAGCTGTTAGCGAGGAAGTGTCGTACTGTAAACTAGCAATCAAGTCTTGGAGGAACTTGCAGTTCAGGATGAGATGGTAAAAATACCAGACAAGCAAATACATTTTTAAGACTTTTTGTACTCAATTCTTTCTACTTTCACATCATCTCCAATGAGCTGATAGACATACGTAACTACTGTCGAAGCCTGGATATCCATCAGCACAAATGAAGGAATGATGTTGCTGGAAAGAGAGGAAAAAATTCCTATTAATTGTGCACGTATCAGCACCTTCGCAGTGTTTCACCACTCGTTAATAGGAATCAGTCTAAGAACAATGGATATGAATTTTGTAAGCATAGTGCATCAGCTATTAAGCTTTCAGTGTTTATCTATTTATCTCTTTCAGTCAAGGAGATGTAGCAATCTATCGACCCTTCCTCTCCTCAACATTTAGAATGTAAACTTTAATCTTCATGATGCATTTTGTAGTTCAGGTTTGTTAGCAAACAGAAACCCCCCGCCCCAGGTATTTCCCATCCCTCACTTACTTCTCTAAGGCATGATAAGCTCCTGTAGCTGATCCTGGATTGATATAGAATTTGTTTTCATGTTCAAAAGCCTCAAATTTGTGTGTATGTCCTGAAATGAGGATGTCCACATCGAACTGCCTCTGCAGCAGCGCCAGACTGGCCATGTCACCCCAGGGAATAACCTGGTGGCCGTGAATCAGCCCGATTTTGAACTGTCCAACAGTTACAACTTTCTGTTCAGGATAATTCAGGTTCTAAAAATAAAACAAACACGCAGATCAGATGTGCAGATTTATGTTTAAAAACCTCTATGCAACACCAAGAAGAGAGGGGGAAAGCTTACGCAAATATTCGATGTACTTGGCCCTACCAGCACAAAAACGAGAGCTGCAACGCTGCTTTTATGAGCAGCGTGGAGAAGGGGGGAGGATGGAAGGAACTTCAAAGATCTGACAACAGCAGGTCCTGTTTGCTGGAGTCCCAGACAGAGCCAAGTACACAAATTGCTTTTATTCATACTGATGACAGCTGGGAACGTGCTGTGCAGCTCACCTTTCTGACCGCAACCCCAACTCTTGTGCCCAGTTTTCTTTTCATGCGCTCTCAGCACTACACAACCTCTATTTGCCCGCTTTTACTTGAATTACAAAAAACCCCAACGTTGCCTTTATGTCAAAGATGCACTAACAGTGTCACTACCAAGAGAGGACACTACCTCATCGAAGTCCCCTCTGACAACGTGAACATCCCCAGCCAGCGTCTTGAGGTAGTCGTAAGTGTCCTTGGTGCAGAGGTTTCCCGTGCAGAGGATGTGTTGGATCTTTCCTGGAACCAGCAGCTTTTTGAACTTGGCCGGGAGGCTGTTGCATCGATGGGGAATGTGAAGATCTCCCAACACTAACACCAACTTAGCAGGTGTCACGACAGGAAAGAAAGAGCGTTACAGGTACTCATTAAGAACTGTTGGCACACAGAAAGCATTGCAATGTTTTCTTTGGTTTCATAACTTTGCATTTTGATGTAAAAGCTACTAAAATAGGAATGAAATGGTGATGGAATCTTGCTGCATTGAGGGAGAACAAGGGCCCGTACTAACGCAGAACATGATCCAGAGAGGGGCCTCACAAACATACCATCTACAGAATTTATTGTTGTTGCTGAAAGCCATTGCAAGGTAGAACAAGTAGAACAACAGCAAAGTGTTACTACTTGACGTATTTTACACAAATTTGGGAACTACCATAAACTATCCCACTGGTTTTTTTCCTCCTTAAACATAAAAAAACCCAGGACATCCCTAGTACACGCTCTCAAGCACAGACCTGGCTAAACTGTGGCCACTTCCCTTTAAAACTCTTCATCCAACTTTCTTTCTACTTTAATTAACGCCTGTTTTCTTCCTTATCCAAAAAAGAGGCAGAAAATTTGCAAAATGTGTTAATAGCTGACCAGAACAGGAGCCTCGGTCAGAGTCTGTATTGTAGGACCCACGGAACACAGTTTAAAACAAAGCAAACCCAGGGCACAGCAGCTCAGACAGACTGCTGCACACAGTGGTTCTGTTCCTAGTGTCAGTACAAGAGATGCAAGAATAAAAATTTAATGGGGGCTTAAAATTAAAGATTAAGTAAGACCATAGTTTAATATTACAGGCTTTAAATCTGTGAATAGACAATTAATGCAAGCAGCACAGAAATTAATTAATTATGCACCAAGGGCGTGGAGAGCTCTAGAAAGCACGGGGTGTGATGCTGCTGCCCTGCAAAACCTCGGGATGTAGCGACAGCCATCCCTGGCAGCTTGGTGACTCGCTCCCTGTTCCCGGAGACAGTTTATCTCCCAGCCGTAACGCTTTGTTAGTGAGACAGTTCCTAAAATGTGTTTGTAAAAGGCACAGTCTGAGATATATATATTTATATATTAAAAAAAAGGCAGTAGTAACTACGGTAATAAATTACCTTTTTTTAGTATTTGCTTTTTAAATTTTCAGGCCATACTGCTATCTTCATGCTAACAGTCATCAAAAAAGGCAGAGGGAAGTTTGGTCGGCTTTTTGTTTGGGTTTTGGGTTTTTTAGATTAAGAATGTCTCAGGGCCATAATCAAAGCCATGTGTTTTTGCAGAACAGATGGTTCAAAGTATCGGTAAAGCTATCCAAGAGTTTTTTAATCAATGAGCTACTAATTTAAAACTAACCCAGGAAAAAACAAGACACTTTTTATGGTCTTTCAAGAGTTTCCTGTGAAAAATCAGTTCCTCACTAGCATCAGTCTAGAGATGATATACTTGAATGCAAGTAAAAAATGGGTAACAAGTGACTTTGTTATTGCAGTGGCAATGGATAGATCCTGTTAATGACGCTCAGGGGACTCAGCCGTGCAACACCAGTGATGTGTTTAACGTTGAATTAAGTTGTGCTGCCCCTCAAACACCTCACCCCGCAGCAGGCAGCAGAGTTTGTGCCCTCAGCACTGACCACCTCCTTGGCTGGCGAGCTGGCAGCCCCGCCTTTTCCCCCAGATCCCCTTCACCTCCCAGGAATCACAGCACAGCTTGGCCGGCTACGGTAACAAAAGCACCGAAGGGTGTTTGATAACCACAGGTACCTGCGGCACCAAAGAGCAGCAAAGAACCACAGCGCCTGGCTTTGGCCAGGGACTTCGCTGCGACCTCGAGCGGGCTCTGAGCAGCAGCCCCTCGCTCCTGTGTCCCCTCACCTCACCCCGGTGTCAGCGAGAGCCAAGAGGAGGAACTTACTCTGTGCCCAGCCTGAGGGGGAGGAAGGAGTTGATTGCAGAGAGGGCGAATGAAAAACAGGGCGAGACGTGACCAGGGTGAAACAAAAGAAAGCAACAGAAGAGAGAACACAGGCAGTGAGCAGCCAAATCATAATGAATTGTGGATGG